ATTACAAATGACATGAACAATAACAATAACAATTCTGAGGTAGTGCAAACAGTGCAGAACAGCAGCTAAGTTTTTGAGAGTCAAATGCAACAGTACTTCACATTTTCTCAACCATTTTCTCAAACAAGCCCAGGAAGTGCTCAGTTTTCGCGCTCAGTTTTTGCCTCGCTCTCCTCATGGCGCCTCTGTTCCCTCTCACTGTCGCACTTCAAAAAATCAACGATGGGATTGTTTTTTTTTTTGTTTTTTTTTTGGTGAAGGGGTTGGGGGACTTGAGGTAGTGGATGGGGTTGGGGGACTATTTGTTGAGGTGGGGGGACCATCAGCGGAGGCAGAGGTTGAGGTATCACCAGTTGAGGGATCACCAGCAGAGGTTGAGGTGGAGGGACCACCAACAATTGGCCTGGAAAAAAAAGAACCATGTGACATGGCCATGAATCTCAGTTCAATTCAGTTTTATTTATAAAGCCCAATATCACAAATCACAATTTGCCTCACAGGGCTTTACAGCATACGACATCCGTCTGTCCTTTGGACCGTCACAGCTGATTAGGAAAAACTCCCCCAAAAAACCCTTTAACGGGGATACAACGGTAGAAAGCTCAGGAAGAGCAACTGAGGAGGGATCCCTCTTCCAGGACGGACAGACGTGCAATAGATGTCGTACAGAACAGATCAACATAATAAATTAACAGTGATCTGTATGACACAATGAGACAGAAAGAGAGACAGAGAGAGAGACAGGACAGACGATAATGTTAATAGCTTACAACAACATTAATTAATCATGCAGTTTGTGTTACAAAAAACATGATATGTGATTGTTGCTAGTCTTTGAAACTTACCTCAAGAACAGCAGTAGGGTCCCCATCTGCTGGAGTGAATGATGCCACCACCAGAGGAGGGTCAGTTGATGGCCGACCACCCAAAACATCATGTATATCCTGATAATATTTCCAGTTAGATTTTCAGGTTTTCCCATTTTTTTGCTGCTTTTGCTATTATTCCCTCCAAGCCAGCCTCTTTGATGATTTGCCTGTGTAATACAAAAAAGTCAAAGGTTATGACTGAATGGTGAAAAATATGTATTAGGTCATACATTGTTTATGAAATGTTCCTATTGAAACAGAATGCTTGATGACTAGGAACATTTGCCATTAGGTCCAAGAATAATGTCATGAATATGAACAGTTTACGAGTTACAAATTACTCAGTCCCATAGTTACTGTGGAGCCTGCTTGCTTTTGGAAAACCTTTCTTTATTGGTGGCCCTGAAATGAATCAGGGCTCATGTTTTGTCTGGTGGCCCTGAAATGGAACAGAGATAACAGAATGAGTTTCTTTTCTTTTTTATTTTTTTGGCCTACCTGTCAGATATTCGTGAAGTTATTAGTTTAGTTTTGTGCAGTATTGGAAGTATTATCACAATGAATACTGTAGTCAACATCCAGCAGAACTGGTGCGGCCACACTTCTGACTTGTGTGATCGTGTTATGTGGTGACTTTCATCCACGTTGACATTTTACTCTTTGGGTCATAAGTTGATTTTCAACCAAATAACCTGTAGCACAACAAATGACCTAAGGTATTCAGCAGAAAGTCACCAGATAATATGATCACTAACATTAACCCGCAGCTGCAACATTGCAGACTGTAAGGCTACAGGAGATGACACCGTCGGGTTATCTCACAAAAATGTCGATGCAAACATTTCACGTATATATAAAAACAACTTAACAACTATATTATGTCTTTTTGTAACTGAATGACAGCATCACTTGGTTATCAGAGACCCGGGGTTACGTGCGGGGCAGGCAAGCTGTCGCCGGCTTTGTTAGCTAGCCAAAAAAATATGTGTGTTATGCTACAAAGAGGTCTACAGTCCATAAAAAGATGTTAAACTAAGATAATGCAATGGTTATAATAATTTTAAAACAACTATTAACAAGGAAGATACTCACATTGATAACTCTGCTTCCTATGGCTTGTCGCCGCCATCTTGCATTGACTGAATCATCTGTACTTGGCTGGGTTTGGCTGGGCTTGGGGTTGATACACAAAGGATTCTGGGATAGCACTCACCACCAAGAGTGGTCCTGGTAAATCCTAAAAATGAGGGCCATACAGTCCTTATTCTTGACCCTCAACTGAACACACTGAGAATTGGGACAGCACTAGCACTTCCCGGTAACACAGATTTTTGAGGCTGAGGGTTAAGATAGGAATTGGGATTGGGCCTTAGTTGGGTTTGGATTCAGCATTTCATGTGATGTTCAGTATTTTATGTGATGATCTCAGATGGGCTGAATTCAGGCTTCAACTCACACAGGTTGGTTCGGGTTGTAATTCTTAGGCCTGTTGAGAAGTCTGCTTCAGCTTTGTTTCTGATCTTTGCCTGTGGCCACTTGTGGCATTGCAACAATAAAAACTGTCAGTGTGGCACAATTTCAGCCCATCACAAAAACTGACCAGAGGCTCTCTGACTCTATATTCTTCATNGAGAGTCTGGGGGCTATCAGAAAGCCCACCCCGGCCCTCCGCCTCTCACCCGGAGCAACTCCAGCAAAGGAGAGAGTCCAACCCCTCTCAAGGACTTAGGTTCCAGAGCCAGAACTATGTGTCGAGGTGAGGCCAATTATATCTAGCGGGTAGCGCTCAACCTCTTCCACGAGCTCCGGCTCCTTCCCCACCAGAGAGGTGACGTTCCATGTCCCAAGAGCCAACTTCCGTAGCCAAGGATCGGACCGCCAAGGCCCCCACCTTGGTCTGCTGCCCGATCCACACTGCACCGAACCCTTCTGGATCCCTCTGTGGGTGGTGGGCCTGCAGGGGGACGAGCCCATGTAGCCGGTTCAGGCTGGGCCCGGCCGGACCCCATGGGCGAAGGCCCAGCCACCAGGCACTCGCCCATGGGCCCCAGCTCCAGGCCTGGCTCCAGGGCTGGGCCCCGGTAACCCTCTGGGCCGGGTACACCAACTCTCATTATCTTCCATCATGAAGGGTCTTCTGAACCGTTCTTTGTCTGACCCTTCGCCCAGAACCAATCTGTCATGGGAAACCCTACCAGGGGCGAAATGCCCCCGACAGTACAGCTCCTAGGGTCATTAGGGCACTCAAACTCCTCAACCACGATAAGGTGATGGTTCTCGGAGGAGTCCAACATCAACTGAAAGAACAAAAATGGTTTTGAACTAATATCATACAGACATTTTAGCAAACAATGCAGGTTGCATTGTTTTTTCATGGTTTGGACTCAGCCAAATGACCCGATTGTTCAAAATATTCCAAAGACCTTACTGTGAGCAGTTTCATGTAGGAACTATTTTCTTTCTATTGAACTACACCCACCAACCGTATTACCATGCAGAAGGAGGTGTGCATGTACCCATGGACAGGAGGTCAGAGTGTGTGGATTATCTTGAGTAACCTGTCAGGTTAGAGTGTTTTGTCAAACATTCCTACATTCATCAGGTCATTTGTAACGCAGAGTTGGTTACAAATAAATACAGTGGGACCCTCTGACAGTGATCACGTTTTCTTTTACTTTATTTCTCATGCTCGTTACTATTTAATTGATATTTGTATATTACAATATAATATCAAGTAATGAGGGGCATTATGTGAGCAGTATTTATCAATGCACTTGACGAGGGCTGCTTCAATGACAGGTGTTTCCCATGTGTGTTTCTTTCCTGTCTCTATCATCAGTTGCCATGACTGTTTCTCATTGTTTGAGTAGTCACAAGGTAGCCTGAGCAACACCACATTTTACTGCAGGATCTCTTTGGCTGATTTTTGGCACAGACAGCATAAAATAATGGACATGTAGCCACCATGACGTTACCCATTTTAAAGCCTTGAATTGCCATTTTGGCCGTCACCAGCTTCAATTCTCGGAGCCAGAAGTGACAAGTATTTGTTTGAGAGGGTCAAGATAATGCTAACGCTAGCTGCTAACTTTGGCTGGATGCATTTATAGCTATGGTCACTTTTGATAATGTTAATGCTAATTTTTATTGTTGGTTAAAAGGCTTAAAACCATTAAAACAAAATGAATATCCGACTTTGTAGTGGGTCTTTTAGTACAATTAGACACTGAAGAAGAACTTTTTAGGCGACCAAGATTGATGAACTGAAAACACCCTCGGGCAGGAGATAAAGGACGATAAAATGCCGGACAAACAGGTTCAAGAACAGTTTTTACCCAAGAGCAATAGTGTCGCTGAACACAATCAAGGCATAAAAAGAGTGGCTGTGCAATAATCTCATGACTATGTGTCTGTGAGCTGTGTCTGTGCGTGTGAGCTGTGTGCTTGGTATTTATGTGTTTTTTATTTATTTTTATCTTAGTACCAATGTTCTTATGTTTTTATGTTTTATCTATAAATTTGCACTAACGGGTTTGCTCTGCAATTTCATTGTACAATGTACAATGACAATAAAGATCTATTCTATTCTATTCTATTCACTGAAATAGTGACTGCTAGGGGCACACACTGTGTGCATCTGGAGTTACACCATGGCTGTGTTCCCTAACAAATACTGTGACTGCGGTGGCAACTTGTCAACAGTCAGCACCCACCTGTCACTTAATACAGCCATGCCCTTAATAATGCTGAACATTAGGTCTAATTAACATTTATACAGGCTACATAAATGAAAATTTCACTGCGTACAGTCATTATGAATGTTGAAATTATCTACAGGGGCCAGAACAGTGTTTTTGTACTAGGCTGTCAACATGTTTACATGTTTATTTCAGCTGTTAAGTTGGGTGTTTTAACATGGGGGGAGGGGGCGGGGGGTTGGGGGCTGACTCACTCTTGGAGCCAGTCTCAGTTGGCCATTAGAGGAACTACCGGTTTTGGGATTTCCCAGTTGGCTTCAATTTTCAGCCCTGGAAGTTGCCACTTGGTGGTTTGTCATTAGCGCTGGGGAGACTCCATTTTTTATCAGGAGAAAATGACTTTTTCTTGTCATGATGTCAATAAGTGCACAGAGCAGCAGCCTCAGGGGTCCCACATGATGGATCATCCCTGAAAGTCTTCTCAGAGTCTTTGTTTATTGTAGTTGTAAATATGTGTTCACAAATCAAATGTTTAAAGTTGTCTGTCTCCTTCTGTCTGCAGCTGATCGCAGTGCTCTCTACACCAGCTTGGCTCTCTGCCTTGTTGCCTCCCTGGCTGTCCTGGCTGTGATGGCTGCCTTCCTCTTCTTTAAAGTAGACCTGGTGTTGGCTTACAGGAAACTGTTGAGACGTTTTTCCAAACAACAAGGTACATGTTGTATTTATATGAGGTGTTTTGGAATCTTGTGACGAGATACTGCCAGGAAACAACAAACTTCACTGTAAACTGTCGATGAAAAGGGAGGATAAAACAAGCAAACACGGTTGTCAGCAACATTGAATGAACACAAAACAAGTTCCATAGATAGTAAAATCAACAGGAATCTAAAAGGGCAATAAATGACAGATTGGTGACTGTCAGCTTGTTTGAAGCTTTATGCAGACAATACTGTCTTCTCTACAGCTCCAGATGGGAAGCTCTATGATGCCTATGTGAGCTTTCTCCATCCTGACAGCCTGAGTTCAGCGGAGACAGCAATGTTGGCCCTGCAGATTCTGCCTGAGGAGCTGGAGAAAAAACATGGCTACTCACTGTACATCAGAGGACGGGACGACTGCCCTGGAGAAGGTGAGCGACACTCAGGTGCTTCACATTTAGAGGTACAATAAACTTGTGGCATTGCAACAATAAAAACTGTCAGTGTGGCACAATTTCAGCCCATCACAAAAACTGACCAGAGGCTCTCTGACTCTATATTCTTCATGTCCACCTATTTTACTGTGTGCAGAAGTTTTGTGGTCACAGTGCAGTTCAGTTTGGTAGTGACCATGTTGAAGATCACAAGTAGAACACATTCAAGAGGATGCCTCAAAAATCATGGACACCACCACAACAACAACAACAACAACAACAACAACAACAACAACAACAAAAAAAAAAGACAAATAGCGAGGTGAAAGTCCAAGTGAAATGAATCTGGGGTTGGCTTTCACTTTTGCAAGTGATGCTGTTTATACACAGTAAGCTATAATTCCTCCATAGTATAATTCTAATTTCTCCTTTTGCCATGCTGAGTGGTGTTGCTGTGTGCAGTTGTAAATAGTGCATCCATGTGTAGAAGGTGGTACACATGTTGACATAGCAGAGCTGGATTACAGGCATGATGGAACAGTACTTCCCATATTCAGTGGGCTGAGAAAGCCAGAAACTAAATTTGTTTGGTATATGTGCAGTGTTGGGAGAGTTAAATATTCCATTAGATTGACAGGAGTAAATAGAATTATGTTGTCTGACAAATGCTCATCTCCAAATCTCAGTGCTGTGCTGCTTGAGGCTATTCAGTACATTCTATCAGAAAACTATATAATTAAAGTGATGGTTGTTCACATCACATTCTGTTAGGAAATGGTAAAACAAACAAAAGCAAAAACAAATGAAGTAATCTCCTTAATAATCCATTTTTAAGACTGTAATCATTTTCTGTGTTTAATGTTTTCCAGCGGTGCATGACGTCATTGCTGCTAGAGTGCGCCAGTGCCGCAGACTGATAATCATCCTATCACCTGAGATAAAGTCGTCAGCTGATGGCAAATCAGAGGAAGAGCCCTTGTATGAGAATCAAAATCAGTTGTGCTACGAGCAGAAAGTTGGGCTGTATGATGCTTTGATCCAGAATGAACCTCAAGTGATTCTGGTGGAAATGGGTGAGGAAATGTTTCTCCTAAAATGTTGGACTATGTTATTCATCTAACAGTGTTGTTTTTTGGTGTGTAATGAGCCACATTGGTCTTCAAGTTAGGGTCCAAATTTCTGGAGTTGTTATGCTACAATGAAAGTTGAGAAAATCATTGACAACTGGGAGGCAGGAGTTCTGAAAACTGTCACTGAGAAACATGAACAAATATGTGAGGGCTTGTTAGAATTAAGAAGTCAAAACATGTTTATTTGAACATTTGGTCAATATTGTGTTGTTTTCTAGGAGATAGCACGGTGGATTACAGCTGTCTGTCTGAGTCTCTGCGATATATCAAGAGGAAACAAGGAGCTCTTACGTGGAAGAAACCCTCTGTTGAAAGTCACAAACTATCCAGAGTGAGCTCAAACAGAAATTTCTGGAAGAATCTGAGGTACCACATGCCGTCAGTTCCTGCAGGCACACTCCAGACTTTTGTCTAAACCAAGTTTCACAGATGGGATGTAATGGAGATATTTTTTAATTTCAGGACATTCAGACATATTTCCTGTAAATATATTTGTTGACATTCTTGATTATCTTTTTCAGATCTATTATCACCTGAGTAATGTGACATTATGTTAACTGTGGACAAACCAGACTGGCTGTCTTGCTCAGTGGCAGTTTGCACAGTGAATTTCAGACTTTGTGCAGTCAGGTGGTTCAGACTTCAGACAAACAGATTTGTTCCTGATACAGAACAGGAATACACAATTTTATAGAGTATGTCTTTGCACCTGGGTGAGATGAGTGAAACTGCAGGTATTTGGCCACACCCATCTTTATGATGTATTGTCACGGATCCTATTGTGTGCTGTGATTGGCTATAACGCATCACGTTTACATGTTGAGGGTGGACCCGTTAGGAGTTGTACAAAGAGGTAATCGTTAGGGCAAGTACAATATAATGTGACGTAGGTGTGTGCATTTGTTGTGATGCTACACATAGGTGGTGTAAAGAGTATACTGCTTTGCTGATAATCAGAACCTGATGCGTAGAGGACAATATGCATGTAGTTATGGTGAGGATGGATAGTGATGAAGATTAGCAAACTTTTAGCTACCTTTTCCTCCGTCATTCAGTCAGTGTTTCAGTCCTATATTGAAGTTGTAGGAAGTTATTAGAGTTCAGGATTGTTCTGTATGTGTTTATTACATGTTAATTGTCTGAATGTTTACCGAGAGATAGTGTCCATTTTGTGATGATAATGTGTGGGTATGAGAAGTTGTAGTTTGCACATTGTCACTAAAGATGGGAAGGGTCACATCTATTATGAGGATACCAAATACCTTAAATGTGATAATATTGGTTTGTAAATAATGTACTTTTTGCATGTCAAAAGTACAAGATGGTCAAAGTTAAATGTGTTTTGTCATATGAATGTTGTGCATTTCACGGTGATGTGTGTATTGACTTTAATGTGTAAATGGAAATGTTTATGAGAATGAAGTCAAAATCTTTGAACAGGAATTGTCTGTAACTTGATAAGTTATGAATTGATGTATTTATTGTTGTGTTTGTGTAATATTGTGAAGAAAACATAGATGTTAAATGAAATGATATGAAAGTGTGAGGGTTGCACACAAAGAACATAATTAGGGTTAAGGGGATGATTGCCACCCTTGAACCCCTGGTTCAAGATGTTTTTAAAAAATCATAAAAAAAATCAAGGGAAGGGTTGATTGTCTTGAAAACTGAATGAACCCTTCCATCTTCATGTACCTGCTTTCCAACGAGACCACCCACGAGTCTCTAGGACTTTCTGTTGCCGAGATATGGGTGTTTTTATTTTTAAATTGGTTGTACCTCGGGAACGGAAGGTCGTAGAACGATGCGGACACGACAGGCGTGTTGAGTGGCCCCAAATTAGGTCTGACACCACCCACTTCCGAGTCTCTAGGACGTAGCGTTTGGGAGTTATTGGGAAAAAAACGTTTCCAATGTAAATGAATAAAATTCCATAGTAGTCCAAAATTACAAAGTGTAGAGGGCAAAATCCTCCCTCCAGAAAGTCACTGGGAGCACGTTTCAGGCCATTTGGTGTTGAGTTAAAGAACTACAGGTGGACTCAATAATGCAGACAACCACAGAGCTCAGTTCAAAAAGGGTTTATTTGCTCCACTGAGAGAATTATACTAGTTGTACAGAGTGGGTTTTGAATCTGGGTCTTCTGCATTGAATTCGGCAACACTGCTGTTGGACCACATGGACAGGTAGTACTCACTGGCTGATACCACAGATAACAAGGACAGGGGAGAGGCCGGAGCTGGAGCGACGCAGGGTGGGGGGAGATCCAGGATTGGGTGTCAGAGGAGTGGGGCAGGCAGTGGAGCAGAGCAGGCTGAGGAGGATGCAGCTTGAGGCTGGACTGCAGTGGGCACAGACAACAGCAGGTGAGGCAGGTCAGCAGCTGAAGTTCCGGAGATGCAAACATACGAAGGTTGACAATGAACTGGCGACGACTGCAGAGAAGAGCCGGTGTCAAATACTCCAGGTAGATTGCTGAATGATTGTAGATGTGGAGATGATTGCTGCAGTGTGCTTCACCTGCTCACACTCACACAGAAAGGAGGGGGGAAGGGAAGAGGGAAAGGAAAAACCAGGTGTAATCCTAACATTTGGAGTTGAATGGTACCTATTTTGGAGACACGTTTTGGCCAAAGCCCACCCCCCGCCCCTTTCCCTAAGCCTAAGCACTTTAAGCCCAGTCGAAGCCTTCCCTTAAGTGGCTAAAGCCCTAGCTTGAGCAGGCCCTAGGTGGTTCCAGCCGTAGATGGCTCCAGCCCTAGCTTGGTAGGTAGGTATTAAGCCAAACTGAGATCCCTCTCAGTTCGTTGTTAGGAGTGGGGGATAGAAATCCCCTCTCTAACTGGAGAGAGGATGGTGCACGGTCCATCACTTCCAGGACATTCCCTTCCATGCTGACCCCCTGGTACAACCACCCTAAGGTGGTGGGTTTTCAAAAAATTAGGCTTGTAGCCTTAGTAAAGTCGGCCTTTGCGCAATATTTCAGTTGAGTTTGACCTTCATCAGGCGAACCGACTGTTAATAATGGGGAGGGCCTCATTTGGCCTCTTCTCACACTCTTCCCGTTTGTTTAGTTTTGATTTGTCACTTTGTTTAGTCTTATTTTGTCACTTTGTTTAGTCTCATTTGTCACTTTGTTTAGTCTTAATTTGTCACTTTTTTTTAGGTTTACTTTTTGTCACTTTTTTTAGGCTTAATTTTTGTATTTTTGTATTTTATTCTCCCCTTCCTTTCTCCTTTCTACCCTGTCCCTGTCTTTCCTTCTCCCCATCTGCCTCCCTGTATCTTCCTACCCTGTATTTATAGTCCCTGTGTCTTTAAGTTTTCTTCGTACGTGCTTTGTTCGTATGTGTGTCTTCTTTGATTTCTTTGTTTAAGTTTTCTTCTTTCTTACTTGTTCTCACGTATGTCTTCTTTGACTTTCTTTTTGTTGTGTTTTTGTTTTTAGTCTGTCTTTGTTATATTTGTTCTTTGTTTGACTTATTTGTCCTTATTAAATGTCTTTCTTGACCTTCTTTTGACTTGTTTGTCCTTTTTGAGTGTCTTTTTTGACTTTCTTTTAATATAATTTAGGGTTAGGAAAGAAGGGATATACGCAGAGTCTCTCCCTATGTTGACCAACGACAACATAGTTGTGTGGGGAGACAGAGGCAAGGCACTGGCCGGCGCAGGTTAGTCCCCAGCCACCTCCCACTTGCTGTCCTGAGCCATATTAGAAGAGAAAAGAAGAAAGAAGAGGAGAGAGGGGGAGGGGGGAGAGGAGGGGGAGGAGGATGGGAATGCGAGGTCACCACGGTGCCACTTGGCATGACAGCACACAGCCTAATTCCCTAAAGATATTTGCCAAACAAAAGGTTAGGGGCCAAGTGTACCCCCAGAGGAATAGCCAGCTATGACGGGTAAGGATAATTTTAATATGGAAGTGCCATGTACAGTGTAAGTGATATATTGGTAATGTTTTTATGGGAAAGTTGAAGTATTTGATATTTTGAACTATTTGAGTCAGTTGCACTCAAGTGAGCTGTAAAGCTGAAACAAAGGGGGGGAAAAAAACTACCAGGTTAGGCATAGCATTAAGAATGATATAAACCGCCAAGGGTAGAGTTTGACATTTGTAGCTGAGTGAGCGTGAACAGAGCATAACGCCACATCCATGCTGACATGTGGTGACAGCAGATGCCCCCATGTGGTCTGCACCAGTGAAGGCCAACTACTGCAACAGACTGGATTTAAGGGCACGAAGGCAGTTTGTTCCTGCGAGGCCCCAAAGGCGAAAAACGGGTGGCGTTTTCCGAATGAGTGTCAGTCTGGAATAAGACGCTGCAAAGTACTCACCCACCCCTGGGACACATCGTCAGTTGTGTGCCTTGGGATCAACGAGTGTTTCGACCACTTATGACAAGACACTCTCCCTCAAGGAAGGTTAGGATAGGGGAATTGAGCCCTTCTCCCCTTGCGAGGGAAGGGAGGTGCACGGTCCTTCCACCCGAAGGACCCCCCCCATACCCCTGGTCCCTTGCAACTTGGCGGGTGGGTTGGCGTCTCCTGCCGTAACGGACCTTAGTCCACCCCTCGTCCATGTTCGTTGTGTTTTTGATTTTAATGTAGGCTTTGCTATTTTTATTGTTGTGTATTTATTTATTTCTTTATTTATGTGTAATGAAATAAAGAAGCCTTATTTATTTATTTATTTATTTGTTTTAAAATAATATAAACTAAAAGTGCTCTCCAAATTTTAGAAGAGGAAAATGTCTTTGTTTTTAACTGGTTTTAAACTGAAATAATATAAAGTAAATGAATTTCTTTTAAAATTATGAACTGAAAGTGCTTTTCTAATGTTTGGAAAGAATAAACTGTTTTTAAAGCAAAAAATGAAATGTAATTATGTTAAATGAATTCAAAAGAGTTCAAAAAGAAATCAAAAGAGTTCAAAAAGAGTTCAAAAAGAAAAAAGGTGTGCCTCGGAACAACGTTTCGACCCTGTAAGGGTCTTTCTCAGGTCAGGCACACTAAGCTAGCTATATAAAAAAAAAGCAATGGATCTGGCTGTGCAGAGAGATGTGTCTCCTTCGAGCATCAGAGCAGAAATGAGCTAGCTCTGTTGCTCCTCCCAATTTATAACCTCTGTTCCCTCCTAGTTTTTATAGTGTTCTAATTTAAACAATGAATTTGACATACTTTTTAAACTCTTCTTATTCAATTTTAACCTCATATTGCCCTGATGAAATGAAATGCATGATATTTATGTTTTCAGGGTTAGGGGGTTAGGATAGGGGACTGTACCCCATCCCCTGCTAGAGGGGAAGGGTGGTGCACTGTCCATCCTCC